CTCAATGTGAATTTCCAGATGACTGCATTGTTTTTATCACTTACTCAAATGTGTACAAATTATTTCTTCAGACAAAATTTTTCCACCAAATGACAGAAAACTCTAGGTCTAATGACAATTTCAGATGGAGTAGTAAAAGCAATGTTGAAGGGCAAATGATCTGAGAGGACTCATGTCGTTTATTTCTTCCCCTCAATATAACGTATTTCAGTGTCTTTCTGGGCTTTGTGCCTGCAGAACTGGGCCAGAGAACATGGGTGGAAGACATTCTCACTCTTGTGGACTTGGACACTCAATCAACATTCATTAAGGAAGTGTTTCATTTACAATACACAAAACCAATTTGGGACTTGAGCTATCACTTAAAGAAGGTCTTCCCTGTGCAGAAGGTCAAAACTTTACCGTCTACATTTAAGTGAGAAGCATTCCTTCCACTAATAGCAGAAATTGCATCTGTATGTGATTTTTTAATAGATATTTATTCTCTAGACAATAAGCAGATAAAGGGAAGTCTTAACTTCCTAAGCAGCCTCTACAGCCTCATTTAGGTGGTAAGAACTCTCCTGTAACCTTTAGTCCTTCACTTCTCCAGAAGGAGTTGAAAATTAAACTGCAGTCATTCTTCTTAAAGGATCCAACAGTAGGGATAAAGAGGTTTAAGGAATTTCTTTGGGCCTTATACACAACAATGATTCTGAAGCTCCAGGCCTGAAAGGCACTGGCTTCCTTAAGGACAACAGTTCCATAAACTTCCCTTAGTCAGAATGAGAGGGGAAATGTCCTAACAGGTAACAGTACTGTGCTTGCCATTACTAATAACCATTTCAAAATGTCTCCAGCCTAAGTTCCCGTAAGGCTCCACTGATATCATGCCTCTATAATGGCAGCCCCATGTACCAAAGAACCCTGTTCACCTACTCACAGTACCTGGCTCTTGTCTGCCAAGACAAGGGTTTTGGGAAAGCTTGTAACAGTTGTTAGATTTTTATGGAAGGGCACTGCCCTCCACTCCCATAAAATAGTTTCAAAGCCAGCCTAGTTCAGATGTATAACAGGAGTATCTACAGCACAGTAACTACATGCCTGAGCTTCAGCAATCACAACTGGGATTTAAACAAAGTGATTTTTTTTCTAATTACCTGTATTACTGTGCATAAGTTACATACTTTTAGCTCTTTAAAACTTCTTTGCAAAGTGGGCACTGGTAACTGACAACTGTAATCCTAGCTACTCAGGAGGGTGAGATCTGAGGATCATGGTTTAAAGCAAGCCTGGGCAGGAAAATCTGTGAGACTCTGGTCCCCAGTAAACTACTCAGAAAAGCCCAGAAGTGGGCTGGGAAGGTGGCTCAGTAGTAGAGCGCTTGCCTTGCATGCTCGAGGCCCTGGGTTCAATTCCTCAGCACCACATAAGCAAAAAGAAAAAAGCCGGAAGTGGCACTGTGGCTCAAGTGGTAGCATGCTAGCCTTGAGCTGAAGAGCTGAGGGACAGCGCCCAGGCCCAGAATTCAGGCCCCACGACCGGACCAAAAAGAAAAAAAAAAAGAAAAAAAGAAAAGCCCAGAAGTGGTTCTGTGGCTCAAGGAGTAGAGGGCTAGCCTTGAGTGAAAGAAGCTCAGGGGCAGAGCCCAGGCCTTGACTTCAAAACCCAGGACCAGGCCAAAACAAAACCAAAACTCCTTGGCAGACCCTACAAATCTCCAAGTTATCTGGCTCCTATCTACCTGTCAAACCTCATCCTGTGCCACTTTCCCTCTGTAATTAGACAGACAGAGCTCATTCCCTTCGCGGGGCCTTTGTACTTGATGTCTGCCCTACCTGATACATTCCTTCCTTCTGAGTCTCACCTGGCTCGTTCTTTTTTATTAATCAGCTTGTGTCAAAAAGTCACCTCCAAAATCTAATAAACATAATATTGAGCAGAGTTGATTAGGTGCATACCTATTGCATAATCCATTTGCATAAAGTACAAAGAAAAAAACAGCTCCATGATATTGTAATTCAGGGACTGGTTACCTTTTCTAGGTACAGGCAGTCATGGGAAGAATTCCAGCGTCCACGCTGCTGTTAGATAACTTTTGTGATCTAGATCTGGTGCCTAATGAGTAGTCTGTGCACATTTATCAAGCTGATCACTTATAATTATGTACATTCTTCAGTGTGTAATATTTCATTTTAATAAATTAAACCTAAACAACAAACAGAACCACCTTATTGAGAGCATTAACAACCCTCCTGATAAGCTACATTCATTCTCCATCCTATGACCCTGTTTGATTTTATTCAGAGTATCAATCACTGACAAATCACCTTCACTATTGGATATTTGTATACAACCTCACCCTTATCCACCCAGCTAAAATAAATAAAAACTCTGCCTGACTCATGCATCAACCCCAACTCCCAGGGCCTAGAACAATCCTAACCAGATGGTATAAGCTAGATTTTTTTTTAATGCATATAAAACTAAGAAATTGAAGTTTTTTTTTAAAAGGGGGGGGCTAACATCAAAAAGGGACATAACATCAAAAAACTCAAAGCAGTGAAACTAAAAGCAGAAGTAATAAAGAAAAAGAAAAGAAAAAAAGAAAATTCAGTGACATTAAGTTATCAGGAATATGTGTTGAATGCTAAATTTAACTATGGGAGGGAGTAAAGTGTTATTCTATGGATATTTTTATAAAATCAGTTAAGTTACTTCTAAAAGTAGAAAAGTAGGTCTTTTATCTCTGTACACCCAACAGTTTTTTGGGTTTGTTTTTTTTTTTTAGAAGGTCTGGTACAAAGTAGGTCTGAACCAACAGACTTGTAAACTTGGGAAGACTCATTTGGTTGAAAAAACTGGGCCATGTTCAGTTGTAATGTGTGCTATGAACAAAGAACAAGGTAGGCACACTACCAAGATAGAAGTACAAGTAGATATTAAGAAGCTCCCACAAATTTGATAAGAGTTCCTTCTACTTCTATTTTTTTTTTTTAAAAGTGCCAGTAGTGGCACTATTGAATTGGATGACATAGTCAATACTGACATGCAAACTGAACGGCCAACATAGGTATCTCTATGAGGGAACCTATCCTTCACCAGGCAGAAACCTAGTGTAATGGAAGCCTACAGGTAATGAACATTTCCCATGCTACCAGCGCTGCCACAAATTGTAACCTTGAACAAGTGATTGAACTAAACTTCCTATCCATGAAAAAGAGCTAATTGTACCAGATGCTTAGCAACACTCATTCCCAGTTCTTGGGTATTTCCTATATTCATAAAACTCCTGTCTTAAATTGTTAATATTAATAAGCCTTGCATTCATAGGAGACATAAACTAACCTTGATGGAATGAGGTCTTTTTGCTAAACCAAGATCATGTGTCCCCCAACTGGTCTCTCTCAAGTGTTGTAATAAGGCTTCTATCTCTTGGACAGGCAAGGAGGCTGCCTAAAAATACAGCTAAATGCTTTGTATTTTAGGTTTTGATTTACAATTACTTTCCTTTCTTGAATTTTCATTGCCGTGGGCCCAATGTTTCCCATCAATTCAAGTCTATCTTCAGAGTTAGCACCTCAGTTGTTTCTTGTAATAAATAGGACTTGATCACCTCGAGGTATTCTTCTTATTCCATTGCAGCAAGTTATTAGTTATTTTAATTAGATAAAACTGCCATTCCTTTTGCCACCCCACCAAACTGCCAAGTGCCTTTTAAGACTATTACAGTAATAAGCATTAGCACCTTTTAAATTTACATTAAAATATCGGGAAAATGAGATGCCAGAAAATAAGGGGGGAAGGGGAGACTGTCGATGTCAAAATTAACCAGAGCTGAGTAAAAAAATCATTAGTAACTTGTTTCTTTTTTTTTCTTTTAAAAAAAATGTTAGGGTGCATGTTCTGGTGAAATCTGCATGACAATCCATTTAAAAGGTCAGGCTCTACTGGGGCTAAGCCCTAGACAGCTTTTTCTTCAAGAGAGGGAGTCAAAAGTGGATCAAGATGCATGGTATGCATGAGCTGCTTTATTAAACGGCAACTCTTTTGCACAACTACTTAAAGATCTTTTTTAATTTGTATTTATTTATTTATTTATGTGGCCAGTCGTGGGGCCTGGGCGCTGTCCCTCAGCTCTTCGGCTCAAGGCTAGCACTCTACCAGCTTTTTCTGCTCACGTGGTGCTGAGGAATCGAACCCGGGGCCCCATCCAAGCAAGGCAAGCGCTCTACCACGGAGCCACCCTGCAGTCTTAAAAGATTTTTTTTTTTAATAGGAAAGGGTGGAGTCAAAGAAGTGAGCTGGTTGAATAAGTTCTTCGAGAGCGGTCAGGGGCTCAGTGTCCACGCTCTGAGGCCTCTCACTACGGAGACGCCGGCTCGCTGCGAAAGGCAGACAGAACAACTTCGAATGACTACTCCAGGGTCCAACCCCGCCTCTCTCGGGTTGTATTCCACATGAAGCAGGGAGAGGGCAAAGGGCCAAAGTTCTGCGCTTCCAAACTGACCCCTGGAGGGTCCTTGACCCCCGGCCTTTTATTAGCTGCACCCGCAAACCTAGTCTTCAGGAGAGGTCGGGAGGGGGGGTGACCTTCGGTCAAGGTGAGTGCCCGGCGGTCTGGCCGTCGCCCCGCGGCGGGAGGGTGGCACACTCGGCGGGGGGCACCGCGTCACCGCACCTCCGGACTCGAGACTCAACTTGTGTCAAACTCGCGTCCCGCGCCGGGCCACAGTGCCAGCCGCGGCACCTCGGGCGGGGGACCCGGCGACTCGGGGGCCGGGGTCGCGGGTGCTCCAGGACAGTCCGGACCGCGGCCTCCTCGGTTCCGGACCCCACACCACGAGGAGCCGGGGGTCCCCACAGCCCGGCGCCCCGGGACGCAGGGACGCAGCGCCGCCCGCGCCGCCCGCGCCCCGGGGCCGGGAGGGAAACCCGAGGAGCAAAGCGCCAGGGAACCAGGCAGGCAGCCACCACGGCCAGCGCCTCCCCCGCGGCTCCGGGTCCCGGGCCGCGCTCACCTGGGACCTGGCGGCCAGGAACCGGGCCTGGAGTGCTGGGCTTCGCAGAAGTTTCCCGGCGTGCACGGTCGCGGGAGACGCCATCTTAACCAGGAACCGGGGCAGAGAGCGGGGCGCGCGGGCAGGGGCGGCCGGGGCCGGAGGGGCGGGAGGAGGCGGAATGGAAGCACACGCCCTCTGCCCGATGGCCACGCCCTCGGGCTAATCCGGCCAGTTAACCACGCCTTCTAGTTGGCCCCGCCCTTGACAGGCCACGCCCCCTCCAGATAACGCCGCTGCGCGCTCATTTCCTCCTGGATACTGCGAGTGCTGGAGACCTCTGACCCCGCTCTTAACCAGCTTCTCTTCCAGTAGGCCTGCTCATTGTGCCTTCTCCGATTACAATGGTTACAAAACCAGCGCTGCCTTAACCTTATGGTCTTGGCACTCCAGTTGTCCCCAGGGAGTGTTTGTTGTCCTGATGATTGCAGCAGGATTGACCCAGGAAGAGGAGGCCATCCAACCAGAGATCCTTGATCTCAGGCTGGAGTTCCAGAGGTCTGTGTATTGAAGGAATTAGGAGGCAAGCTTGAGAGCCTGCAATCTCATAGTCACGTGTTAGGGAAGTTTAGGCCTAAGTGAAGTTTGTGTCCTTGTTCCTTAACTAAAATCAACAGAAAGCCGTTGAAGGATGTTAGTCTGCTAATGATTATAAGACCATATGTTTGGAATTTCTTGGACTACCCTCATGCAACAGAAAAGGCAGTAGCAAAACACTGCTGGATTTATGCTAAGCACTTGACCAATAGGAACCCAAGTAGTGCCCTTAGAAAACTTACAATCAGGTAAGGTGACAAATGTTTATTTTATAGAAGAGGATTGTATTAACACCTTGAACTGAGCTCCAAAAGACTAGACTAGAAATCAAAATCCCATGACACCAAACCAAAAATAAGTTCATTCCCTGAGAAATGGAAAGGGAGAAATAGTCAACTTTTCTTAAACTAGTTTCAAGTGGGGTTATAAAAAAAAGTTTATTTTTTTCTTTGTTTCTACCTTTTCCATCCCTTCTATATAAAAAAAGAAAGAAAAATAAAAAACAGCTCTTATGCTCAAAACATATATTCCATATTACAGAATTGAAGTGTTGCTTGATTCTACAAGTGAAAATAACATCAATTAAAATTCTTTTTTTATTGTCAAGGTGATGTACAAAGGGTACAGTAACATAAGTAAGGTAATAAGTACATTTCTTGTCAAATTTGTTACCCCTTCCCTCATTTTTCTCCTACTTTTCCTCCCCTGCAACCCCCCCAAGTTGTGCAGATCATTTCCAACATATTATCTTGTGAATATCACTGTTGCATTGGTTCCCCCTTGTCCTTTGTCTCACCATTCTGTTGTTCCCCTTCCCCTCCCTAATTCAAATAAACGTATATACAATGCCAGGGCACCAAAATCAAATACAATGACAACAGGGGATATACCATAGGGAGAAAACATACAAAAAGAAACAAATAATCACATAGTACATTAAAAACAACAACAAAGAAAAACCTCTTGTATCCATGTCTTAGAATTCATTTTACTTAGTGTCGTCTTAAATGATCATATGTACATAGCTACTGAGCTATTCGGTTCAATTCTAAGATTATCCTAGATGTATACTAATTATTGCAAATAAGGGAAACTATGGGACCTATGTTTTTTGGGTCTGGCTTTCTTCACTTGAATGAGTTTTTTCCAAACCTTTCCATTTCCTTACAAATGGGGTAGGCTGAGGTTGAACATAATGGCCACAACTCTAATCTCAGCAGGGAGTGGGCTGAGGTACAAGAGCAGCCTGAGCTACATAGCAAGACCTAGTCTTGGGAAAATAAATAATTAAATAAAAAAGCCATATCCTGGTAATTTAGTCCTTTTATCTAAGTCAATGAGATGTATGAAAAGACCTTGCAAGGAATTAAGGCTTAATAATTTTTATTTGTCTTCTTCTGGTGAGTTCTTAAATACTTGTTTAACATCAAATGTGAAAGTACTTCGCATCTCAGAGCCAGTCTGAAATCTGGATTAGAAGATCCTAAATACCATGTAACTTACCTTATTGCTCTGGAGAATTTTAGAGAAATGTAAATGCCAGGTAAAAATATTAAAAACTTAAAGTGGTTTCTGCCTAAAAGAAGATAGAAGGGAGTAGTCAGGAACCATTCTACTTTGTTTTAGAACATCCCACTTAGGACAAGATCTGAGACCTGCGATACAGCATCTTTTCAAGAAGTTTGTTTTGTTTTGTTTTGTTTTTAGTTTTTGAGGTCCTGATTACATAGCCCAGGCTTCCCAAGTGCTGGGATTACAGATGTCCATCTCAAGGAGTTCTTTTGAGAACTAAAAAGGCAAAGCTAACCATATTAGGGAACTCTTTTAAGAAGTTTATTGGTGAATCCAAATGGGAGGAGTACTTAAAAGGTGGTTTTGAAACGTGCGCGTGTGCACACACACACATACACACACACACACATACTGATGATTTTCATGAGCCCATGAATTCACTAAAAGCAGGAGAAACACTTGACATACCTATTCTATTTTGTGTGTATCTTTGCTCTAAGCCACTTTATCTGTCAAGAGTCATTTTGCAATCACCTTGGAATCCACAAAGGACAGATCTGATTGACATCTTTAAAACTAGGGTTCAAAATTCCCTTAAGTCTCCCATGCCTTCTGTACTTGACTAAGACATCAGTTTTTGGGTGTTTATTTTTTTGTTTTTAATATCTCTGAGCCTCAGTTTCCCCATTAGTATAATGAAGGCATCTACCCCAAACAGGAAGCTCACAATGTAACACTTCTCATGAATATTGCAAACATTTGGAATATTAAGTTCCAACCCCATGATCAAGTTTACGTTGAGAACAGCCTGCCTACATGGTTTCTTACTCAGTTAATTTCTCTGAGAAGGAAAATAAAAAACATCAGTAGGCCCACATGTATTCCCTTTCCTCTGAGCAGTGCATATTATCACTGAAATAATATGCTCATTTCATATCCACACTACTACTCCGGGGGCCTGCTCTGCCAAAGAGGCATGTCATGAAATTTTGCAAAGGAATAGTGAATCTCACAGTTGCAATGTTGTTTATCATTACCTTTTCAGTAAAGCATTAAAACCACTTGACAAATATAAGCTTGTTATAACCAGCAGAGCTGAATTATACTTCTAAAGAAAGTATATTTAGATTTTCACAAAGTACATATTTGAGTTTCTGCTGCTGCATGTTGGAAAGGAAGATAATTTTTATGATGATGAAACAGAAGATATCTATGAATTTCATTTGGTTATTTTTCTTTTGATGAATTGCATATTTCTTGACTATAGGCAAGGAAACTTGGGCCTTCATTATGTAGAATGGTAGTGTACTTGTTGCTGTCTGTGACAACCTTTTTAACCAAGGTTTCACCTGTGTTATTTGTCAGTAGAACAGAATGAGCTTCTTTTGTGCTAAAGTTATTTTTCCCTCTTCAATAATGCATTAAAGTGATTAATTTTATGGGTTGAGGGTTTAGCTCAGTAGTAGCTCACTTGCCTAGCATGCATGAGGCCCCTGGGTTTCATCCTCAGTACTGTAAGAAAAAAAAAAAAAAGATTTATTTTAATGGTATTTCTCAATAGCTTCTTTTAAATTATAAGAAAAGGGCCTAAAACTACATGTCTCCTCTGCCAAAACTGTAGAGTGCTTAAGTGAAATTCTTACTGCATCAGGGAGAAAATTCAAAACAGCCAAACAAAGTCAGGAAGTAAAGCAAGGAACATGATTAACCTAGAGAAAGCCTGGCAGAAATCATGAACAGCAGAGAGCAAAAGTAGTTGAGAAGACTAAATGTGGAAAGCAAGATAAAGTAACAGAAATAGGTAATGATGCTCTACAGGTAGGGAGTCTGGAGATGGAGAAAGAGGAAGATCTGAACACACAGTGTTTCCGCTAAGCACTGTGGAGGAACTTGGACTGAAAAAGAAAAATAATACCAAAAGAGATATGATAATACTTACATACACATTGCTGAACTGAGACCTGACCCCACGGCCTATCCCCATGCAAGGCTGGCGCTCTACCAGTTCAGCCATGCATCCATTTCTGCTTTTAGGTAGTTATTTGGAATTGAGTCTCTTAGCCTCAGTCACTATGCTCTGGATCTAAGCCTTTTGAAAAGCCAGGATCACAGAGAGGAGCCCACTGTGCAAGACAGCCTTCTTTAAAATTCTAATATAAAAAGGCTCATTCCACACAGCTTCAGTTTTATTTTGAATTGATGGTAAAAAAAAAAAAAAAAGAATATATCTGAGATATTAAACTTTAGGCTTTCTCATGCTAAACAGGAGCTCTTCAACTAAAATAATCCGTATTTCCCCATTCTTTTTTTTTTTTTTTTTTTTGATGCTAGGGACTGAATCCAGGACATTGTGTATTTTAAACTTAAATGTGCAATAGCAGCCTTTGGCCCATGTTCTCCAGGGCTTGATGGGGGGGAGAGGGGAGAGTGGGGAAATAAACAATCCAGAGGTAAAAGTGGCCAAGAGAAAGAATTGTGAGCCTCACTAATCGCATTGAAGAGATGCAAAATAAAACAGAAGATAATATTGCCTATTAATATTGAATGTAGAATAAGTACTGTTGTATATACTTGTAATCCCAGGAAGTAAAAAGCAGGACCATTGAGGGTTTGAGGTCACCCTGAGCTACACTGTATGAGCCTTTCCCAAATAAGTAAATGAGTAAAAGATAAAGTTGAATATATTTTAAATAAATAAATTGTAAAGTGTAAAATTGTAAAATGTAAAACATGTCCAACATAGATTAAATTTTGGGTTGAAATGCTCTCTGCTATGTGTTGGAAATGTAATTTGTCATGTAGTTCTACAGGATAATTTAGCAATAAGTATCCAGAGACTTGAGGAGCTTAAACCTTCTAGTCCAGTAATTTAATTTCTAGAGGTATTTTAAAGCAAGAGTTGTTTTTTTTTTTATCTTTGTTGCTGTTGTTTTTAATATTCTTATAGTGTACTATGTGATTTTTTTGTTTCTTTTTTATGTTCTTCCCCCATGTAGTATAACCCCTGTTTTCACTGTATTTGATTCCAGTGCCCTGCATCTTGTATATAT